ATTCGACATAACCTCCTGACTTTTGAATTCTATGGCCCTATTTATAAAACCTAGTATCCCGTATGCTTTTTTAACAGCTTTATCTATGCTGCCACCTTCAGAGATTTGCTTATGTGGACCCTGAGGTCTCTCTGTTCATTTGCTCTCTTTAAGAATTTACCATCAGCTTATACTGCCTCTCCTCATTCTTCCTACCAAAATGCATCACTTTGTATTTCTCCACATTAAACCTAATCTGCCATGTTTCTGCCCATTTTACCAATCCTTCTAAGTCCTCTTGGTGTCTGGTGCTATTCTCCTCATCATTAACTACTTTTCCTAGCTTAGTATCGTCTGCAAATTTGGAAATTTTGTTCCCTATTTGCAGGTCCAGATCATTAATGTAGATCAGAAAGAGCAGTGATGCCAATACCGACCACCTGAGGGACACCACTACCCACCTCCCTCCAATCAGAAAAGCAACCGTTTACTGCCACTGTCTGCTTTCTGTCTCCCAGCCAGTTCTGGATCCATGTTGCCACAGTCCCTTTAATACTGTGGGCTTCTATTTTGTTTAAAAGTCTCTTATGTGGCACTTTGTCAAATGCCTTTTGAAAATCTAGATAAACTGTGTCTACTGCCTACCTTCATCCGCCCTCTCAATCACTTCATCAAAAAATTCTATTAGGTTGGTCAGACACGACCTTCAACAAATCCTTGTTGACTCTCCTTTACTAAACCATATTTTTCTAAGTGAAAATTTATATTGTCCCGGATTATAGTCTCCAGAAGTATCCCTACTACTGGTGTTAGGCTGATTGACCTGTGGTTCTCAGGTTTATCCTTCTGCCCCTTTTTGTACAGGGGAGTAACATTTGCAACCGTCCAGTCCTCTGGCCCCATTCCAGTGTCCAAAGAGGATTGAAAGCGTGTAGCCAGAGCTTCTGCTATTTCCACCCTTGCTTCCCTCAGTAACCTAATCTATGTTGAGCACTGACAGCCTTTTTAGCACCTCCTCTCCATTGATTTTTATCATATCCAATTTCTGTTCACATGCCTGCGATATTGTGGCATTGGTTGCATCGTCTTTTGTGAAGACAGTTGCAAAGTTCTCCTCTGTACTTCCTATATTCTATTTGATTATCATGTGTGTATAACTTAGAATCACTGGGATGTCCTCCTGACGTAAAGTGCTCTTTATAAATGTAATTTTGTTGTTGCTGCAGCTTAGCTTTGTCTGTGTTCTTTATTTTGTTCCCGCCGCTCTGTGATGCAGGATGCCACAGGGCCACGGTCAGCCAGCGCAGCCACCAGGTGTAACTCCACGATGCTACAGCGCCACTTTAACTCAGCGGCCACCAGGTCAAAAAATGCAAAAAAAAAATGCAAAACTGAAATACATTTTATGCAATAACTGAAATACATTTTACTCATGAACAATAGGATATACCTGAAAACAAATATGGCCATGTCACTCATGTCTGTATGTCAATCGATTATTGAAATCCTTCTTGAAGCGCATACAGACTGACAGACATTGGCGTTTTATTAGTATAAAGATACTGAGTTGATAAAAGATCCATTGGTGCAGCGTATGATACAGTGACAATTGTCAATTTAAAAACTTGAACTCACAAGAAATATCCAAAGCAATCATGATGAAGCAGTACATATCTAGTACATTGTCTTAAAGTACATTGAAGTGAAAACAAAAACAGAAGTCGCTGGGAACACTCAGCAGGTCAGTTATGGAGAAAGGAAAGTGAGTCAACGTTTCAGGTCCACCACCCTTCCTCAGACGTAATTGTCTCTTTGGCTGAACAGAAATGTGTTAGAACCTTGGCTATAATTCAGGCCATTGGGAAGCAATCCTTGCTTTTCATCACTATCAATCAAACACTGCTTTTTATGCTTCATCATTTAAAGAGATGGAAGAAACAAAAATCCACACTGGCCAAAAATATCTAACGGAAGTAATTGTTATAGGGAACATACAACTTCTAGTAATGTGATTTGATTGCTTTTTATTCTAAATCTTACTTTAACTGAGTATATTAGATGTTTTTGCAAGCATTATTATTCAGTGTTTAAAATAGTAATTGTATTAAGAAACAAAATATCCCCAAATGGCAACTTCATTAGAGTACAATTTCTGGACCCATTATGACTAATTAAAGGCCAGTGTTTTTTAATTCTGTTCCATGTAACATATTGTAGCTGTTTGTATATTATGAGACCTCTCGGTTTAGTATATTAGAATATATTAGGATACATCAGAACATACAGCCCAGAACCAGGCATTCGGCCCAACTGGTCTAGGCCTCTGCACCTCCTCTCTCCTCACAACAGTGCCCTTTGCCTTCGCTCCACTGGGTCTGGCCTCCTCCTTGTCCCCAGAATCCTCCGCTCCACCATCGACGACCGTGCCTTCAGGCACTACACTCCGAGGCTCTGGAACTCTCTTTCTCACTCCCTTTGCCTCGCCCCCTCTCTTCCTATTTTCAGGTCTCGGTTGAAGACCTTTCTTTTCGACTGTGCCTTTGGTTATCTTCCTCCCCCTCCCCCGGCTCGTCCTTGGGATCCGTTACTGTGAAGCGCTCTGAGACGCCATCCGGCGTGGAGGGCGCTATATAAATCCAAGTTGTTGTTGTTAGGCTCCACATGAGCCTCCTCCTGCCCTTCTTCAACTAAGCCTTCAAGCACAACCTTCTATTCCTTTCCCCCTCACGTACCGATCTAGTTTTCCCTTAAATACGTCTATGCTATTTGCCTTAACAACTCCTTGTGGTAGCATGTTCCACATTCCCACTACTCTCTGTGTGAAGAAATTTCTTCTAACTTCCCTATTTGGTCTATTTGTGACTATTTTATATTGATGGCCACTGGTTTTCATCTCCCCCACAAGACATCTTCCCTATGTCTACCCTATCAAAACCTTTCATCATTTTAAAGACCTCTATCAGGGCACCCCTTACCCTCCTCTTTTGAAGAGAAAAGAGTCCAAGCATGTTCAGCCTTTCCTGATAGTTTCCTGATAACCTCTTAGTTCTGGGATCATCATTGTGAATCTCCTTTACTCCCTCTCCAGTGTCTCTACATCCCTTCTATAATGTGGGGACCAGAACTGCACACAGTATTCTAAGTGTGGTCTAACCAAGGTTCTGTAGAAGTTTACCATAACTTCCCTGCTTTTCATTTCTATCCCTCTATAAATGAACCCCAATGCCTGTTTTTCCTTTTTTATGGCCTTATTAACCTGCATTGCTACTTTGTCATTGTTAGTGAATTGTGTATGTGTACTCCTAGATCCCTTTGCTCCTCTACCCCATTTAGGTTTTTATTTTCTAGGATGTATGTGACTTCCTTATTTCTTCTACCAATATGTACCACCCCACACTTTTCTACATTGAAATGCATTTGCCATCTAAATGCCCATTCAGCAAGTTTATTAATGTCTTGCTGTAATTTGTTGCAGTCCTCCTTTGTATTAACTACTCCCCCCAATTTGGTGTCGTCTGCAAATTTTGAAATTGTACTGCTGATTCCCGAGTCCAAATCATTAATGTATATTGTGAACAACAGTGGTCCCAATACTGATCCTTATGGAACACCACTGCCCATCCCCGGCCAGTCTGAGTAGCTACCCTTTACCCCTACTGTCTGCAATACCCCTACATTCTAATAAATTCAGTTTTAGAGCCTCAATACAACACTATTGATCTCACAAGATCACAAGATTGGTCTGGATGAAGAATGTTGTTCGGCCCATCCGATTTCATCTCATCACCCAATCATCATTACATTAAGCTGCTTTTTAAATGAGTCCAGTATCCCGGTCTTTACTACCTTCTTGGCAATCTGTTACAATCATTGTTTACCCCTGCATAAACAAAATCTTCCTGGTATTTGTCCTGAAATTACTCTTTACAACTCTAAATCTATGGGCTCTTGTTCTACTGTCATGACATATCCTAAAGTAATGAGCCGGGTTTTCTTTTTCAATCCCATTTAAAATCGTATACACCTCTATGAGGTCCACTCCTGGTTGTCTTGTCTCAAGAATGAAGGGACCTAGCTTGTTTAATCATTGCTCATTTTTGTAACACTAAGAATCAACCCCATTGCTCTCCTAGGTACCGCCTCCTGGACCTGGGCAGGCTTCTTACATCGCGGTGATGAGAACTGTATACAATACTCAAGGTGCAGTTTGACCAGAGCACTCACTGTACAGTCTGAGAATGACATCTGGGGATCTAAACTCAACGGATCTACCAATATCGCCTGTTTGCCTTGTTTATTACTGCCTCACATTGACATAGTGAGCGATGAGTCAATTAACATGCCTAGATGTTAATTGACTCATTTCAGCTCCCCACTTAGCAAGTTCAATCCCATTCATGTAGCACTTGTGTTTCCCATACTTGTATCCTATATGTAGTACCTATCAGTATTAAACTTAATTTGCCAGTTATCAGCCCATGTGCATACCCTATTAAGCTCTCTCCTTATAGGACTTTTATTGCCTTCTCAGATTCTACAATTTCCCTCAAATTAGCGTCATCTGCAAGTTTAATTATCTTACCCTGGGTTTGTGAATCCAGGTCATTAATATATCTGAGAAACAGGAGCCTCAGTATAGACATCCGAGGCACCCAATTAGTACTTCTCGCCATTTTGATTTTGCTCCCCTAATAAAGACCCTCTGCTTTCTTCTCTTCTGCCAATTCTGAATCCATGTCCATATCTTTCCCTTGATATCCAGTAACCACAGTCTGTGGAGGAGTCTTTCATGTGGTACTTTGTTGGATGCCTTTTGGAAGTCCAGATACACTACATCATATGGTGTTCCACAGTCAGAAGAGGCTGTGACCTCTTCAGAAAAAGATTGGTCAGACAAGACCTACCCTTTCTGAACTTATATTGGCTGTCAATTATTAGATTTCCATATAAGTTCTTGAATAGCATGCCTGAGTACATCTACACCTTTCCCTCCATTTATATTATGAAATTGTCTTTTGCAGGGATGTTGTCCTGAAGTTGCTTCAGTATGAAGCCTCCACCAATGTGGCAGATAACAAAGGTTGCTTTCCACTCCATCTAGCTGCTTGGAAGGGAGACATGGATATTGTGAAAATTCTCATCCACCATGGACCTTCGCATTCCCGAGTGAATGAACAGGTGTGTTACTTTGTGCTTTTTATTTGCTTTTTATGTGAAAATATGTCACTTTAGGTACTACTTTTTGCAGGAGTTTTGATAGATTGTGGTGGGCAGGGGATTATTTTACTCAGTGCTGTTTAAGAACTGTGGAGTCTTGTAGCTCAGTGGTTAGAGCACTCGCTTTGCAAGCGAGAGACCTGAGTTCAATCCCAGGCAGATCAGGGGCAGACCTTGGGCAAGTTTCCTTACTCCACACGCCTAATAATAATCCCTCCAAAACCAAAAACAACAATAAAAATTGGTCGTTTTCAATCTACGACTGTTTGTGGGACGCTGCTGTGCGCAATTGGCTACCGCGTTCGCCCACAAATATACAGTCAATTCACTTTACAGTGTGTTCTGTGAAGCGCTTTGGGACGTCCTCCCGACGTGAAAAGCGCTATACCAAAATGCAAGGATTATTATTATTATTATAAGAACTTGGGTTGGATTTTATTGCAGTATAACACAGTAAATGCTGAAACTGATAGATTTTGTGGATTGATTTTCAGTTCATACAGTTGGATTAGCTAAATTTTTAAATCTTGTACTGTAGACAGTTTTTTCAGTTTCCTCTGTCACTTGTATTGAGTTCTCTTTCTGATGCTCAGACTTCATTTATTTAATCGTTTGCAGTTTAGCTTCATCTTACTGTGATATGCTTAGTTTCAATTCCATTTAAAGAGAATTCAATCAGATGGCAGTAATGCATGGTGCTAACACATTGGATGTGTTGAATTTAATCTACAGACAGGGGCTTAATTAACGTCTCTGTTCTAAAGGTATCTATCAGCCTGGTGACACTCTTGTTTCTGTTTTTTGATTGTTGCACCATTAATGAGAGAAGGTTGTGGGTTCACCCCCTACGTGAGGACTTGAATTCACATAGCCTAACCTGACAATCCAATGCAGTGCTGGGGACCAGGGGGATGTTGCATTGTTGGAGGTACCATACTTTGGATGAGACATTAAACCGAGGTCCCATCTGCCTGTTCAGGTGGACTATTCGCAAAGAGAAGAGAGTTTCTGCTGTTGTCCACAGTGAATTCTATGAAGCGCTTTGGGATGGCCTTCTCGCATGAAAGGCAGGCAGTATACCAAATGTAACGATTATTATTATTTTTATGGGCTTGACGACATTCACCACATGTGTGCTCTCAATATCACAAGTTTAATTATTGCAAATGATTTTTGAATCTGGGTCCTTGGTCCTTGGAAACAAGTTTCATCATCACTTGTCGCAACAGTTCAATTCTTACTTGTACCTGACCGTTAATGTGAGGTGAAGACAGAGGCAATGTAGTGCTCAAAATGTCTTCTATCACAACATAACAATAATAATCTGGAAATTTCACAGTATAATCTCATTGATTCATCTTGTACTTCACAAGATTTTATTGTAAAGTATAGTGACTGTCCATTCGTAAGTGAAAATGGCAGTCAATTCGCACACAGCAATGTCCCACAAGCAGCCACAAAGTGAATTATCCACTAGAATTATTTTAGTACTTCCTTTTTGTCCTTCCTTTCTTTACATTTTAAAGTTTTTATCTTTCTTTACCCTGCTCCTTTCATTCTCTTCTTCTCTGCTTTAATCTCAACATGAAGTAGAATATCAGTGAATTAAATTATACCACAGTGAGATACACATAGGAGAAAATGTATGTGGGACTTTGAAGAAACCAGAATGAAAATGTTTGCAAGTGTAATAACCCTAACAGTAAAATAGTAAAAGTTGTGATATATTACGGTAGAGAATAGATGCAGGGATGAAGATTGTTCAAAAAAAGAACAAAATAAATCATAAAATACAAGATCAGAAATGCCACTTCTCAAAGTAATAGTTTCAATAGTGCAAACTTCCCAGAAAATCCTCCAATTAATAGAGTAATTTAATTGAGAATGGCCTGATGAATCTGAATCATGAACTATCCTCTATGAAGTATTCTTTATCTAATAAACTGCTAGTTGAGAAAATGAAATTATCTTACACTAAAAATCTGAATTTACTTTCTTCTTAGAAGGTATGCCTTGGCAAAACTAATGATCAAATAAACTACAACACTTAGATGAAACATTGAGTCAGATATTATTTGCTGAATGATTTTAACAACCTTTTAAACTGGGTTGCTTAAGAGTTCTGTAGTGTGTTGGTTAGAGCACTTGTCTCCCAAGTGAGTGGACCTGGGTTCGATTCCCGGGTGGGGAGAAATCTTAGGCAAGTTTCCTTACACCCACCTTCCCCCACTTCTGCAACATCACCCGGCTCCGCCATTGTCTCACACTGCAGGCCGCTGAAACCCTCATACACACATTCATAGCATTGAGGCTTCACTATCCAAACTGCTTGCTTCTTGGCCTCCCCAACTCCTCCCTCCATAGGCTGCAGATCATCCAGAATTCTGCAGCCCGTGTCCTCTCCCACAGCAGGCTCCATGACCCTATCACCCCTATCCTCGCCCATCTCCACTGGCTTCCCATCACTCAGAGGATACAGTTCAAGATCCTGGTCCTCACCTTCAAAGCCCTCCAAGGCCTTGTTCCGGCCTACCTCTGCGACTTCCTAAACCCTACCATCCTGCCCACTCCCTCCGCTCAGTGGGCTCTGACCTGCTTCACGCCCTCCACCTCGCCCGCCCCACCATTGGCGGGCAGGCGTTCTGCCACTCTGCCCCTACCCTCTGGAACTCCATCCTACAGTCCCACTGCCTCGCCCCCTTCCCCCTTCCTTCTCAAGACCCCTCCTCTTCGACCGTGTTTTCCCTGCTTCCACCCTGCTTCCCCCTTGCCCTCCACCCTCCCCAATCCCGACCCCCAGCTTGGGTCCGAAACACTGACTGTCCAGCACCTTGGGACATCCTCCCGATGTGAAAGGCACTATACAAATGTAGTTTTGTTGTTACTTCACACGCCTCTGTTTACCTAGCAGTAAGTAGGAACCTGCTTGTTAATTGATTGGCGGATCACTTTTCCTGGGGTAATAATCTCTTCAAAAAAAAATTAAGAAATGACTCTGTGGGACACTGCCGGTTGCCACATTTTGCTCACAAAATGTACAGTATGTTCTGTGAGACTTCTCAACGATGTATACTTTCAGATATGCTAAGCTAACAGAGGGCACCAATTCAGGCTAGTAAAGCAATTTCAGGACAGACATCGGGAAGCATCATATGGAGAAAGATAATGTGATAATGAGAGAGTTTTTCACACGCAGGGTAGTTTGGATATGGAATGTCCTGCGGTGGTTGAGGCAGAATGTATGTTGGCTTTCAAAAGGGAATTAGATAAATACATTAAAAAGAATCAGCTACATGGGGAATGGGGAAAGGCAGAGGAAATGGGCAGAAAGGATTACTCTTCAAGGAGCTGGTGCAGACATAATGGGCTGAATGTCCTTCTTCTATGAGGTAAATTTATATGGTTCTGTGATTCTAAGAAAATTCATAGGTTACCAGGAAGTGTGGTTGAGGCCAGGCCACTGGACTCATTTTTTAAAAAGTTTAATGCTGGAATGGGAGATTGCTCGGATGGGTATTCTAGAATATTGAGATCAAATGGCTAAACGTCTTCTACAACTGAACCAATCTTACATTGCCCTTCTCCAAATAATGGTGCTGTCAAAGAAGCCAATTTACATGTGACTGTTTTCACTTCCCACTTCAAAATGTACCAAATCTGCGCAGCCCATCATAGCTGGGTGCTTGTCCAAATGATTCAAAACTCTGCCACCCTTGTCCTCCCCCATACCCAGGCTCTGCAGCCCAATCACCTCAGTTCTTCCCAGGCTCCAATGGTTTCCTGTTGGAGAATAGATCGATTTCAAGATCCTCACTCTCACCTTCAAATCACCTCATGCCCTGGCATCTCCTAACCTCTCCAATCTGCTTACACCCACTCCACTACCCACCATCTTCACTCAGTTGGCTCTGGTCGTGTATCCATGCCTTCACCTGCCACTCCATTTTTGGCAGCTGTACTTTTAGGCACTCCTTGCCTTAAATCTTCCATCTTGCCCCCCTTTTGCCCATCTTCAAATCATACTTAAGACTTCCCTCTTTGACTGTGCCTTTGGTCGTCTTGGCTCTCTTTTAAGTTCGGTCTCAAACCACACCACTGTTAAGTGCTCCAAGATGCTACTATGTGAAGGGTGCCATATAAATACAAATTATTGTTGAGCTCCTTTTAGTACCCTCAGCCTATCTGTCATATGTAATGTATCTATTACTTACCAATTTTGCTTGCTCTGATTGAAATGAAGGGCTTTTTGAAGGGCTTATTATCCCCAGAAAGGTGATCTGCCAATCGACTAAAAACCTGCTTACTGCTAGGTGAACAGAGACGTGTGGAGCAAGGAAACTTGCCCAACGTTTCGCCCTGCTGAGAATCGAACCCAGGTACTCTCACTTGCGAGACAAGTGCACGAACAACTAAGCTACAAGACTCCACGTGGATGCATGGAATTCGCAATTTGGTTTGGATACTCTTAATGGTGATTGGCTGCCGCATGTGTCAGACACCTGTCTGACCAAAAGGAAACAGACCGATTGGCTCCTGTATATTGCCTCTTTTTAATACTTTAATGACCAAATTATGTCATATTTGTGACTGCCTATGTTAATCTCCCATCCAAAATATATCTTGAATGCTTCTTGCTAGGAAATGTGGAATGTGGGATTTTTCTGATCGGTCACATTGCTTGTTAGGTCTGATTTTATCAAATGGATTTTTAATGTTGATGTTATTGCTGTTTTTAGCCAATGTTGATGTTATTGCTGTATTTAGCCAATGTTGTGGCTGAATAGGGGTTGAAACTCAAAGCCATGACAGCTCCAGAGATACTGTGATTGGCCTTAGCCAATAGCAATATATCTGGAGCTGTTCATCAATTTTGGGCCATCTTAAATTTTAAAACTAAATGGTCTTAGAAGGAAGACAAGAAGGAATTTGGGGTCTTGGGTGAGTACAGTATTGGGCTTAGC